TTACCTACTGTCCACACATAAACAACCACATTTGTTTTCACTGGCGTCTACGAGAAAGGGGAGGGGGCAGACAAGGAGGAGGATTTGAAGACTCTCGTGGGCCTTTGGGGCGCAACTTAATTTCCAGGGGATGCCCCGAGCAACCCGATTAACTACGCCAACAAGCAAACTATAACACCCAACACGATGGAACTGCGCGCGGCGCCGCGGGGCATTTGATCGGCAGCCGCGCGCGCCGTCGAAACATCGACAAACCCGTGAGGCGGTGGGAGATGAGCTGTTACATGCAATGACCTGTTATTGTAAATTTTGGTATGATATGCTATTATATGATATGTCATGCTATGGAATGCTAGCACGTGGTGTTGCTACTACGCATGAATGTGCTCGGGCGCGCGCCTCGGGGGCAATTTAATCGCCCGGGACCTCGAAGGCTTAACCTCGGGGGGCGGCGGCGCCCGAGCATGACGAATTACGCCGACCACGTCGAAATACCAAAGCTTTTTTATATTAAAAGATTGACTAGATGGGGTAAGCTTGGAAGCTTCTTGAAGGCCTCATGGGGCGTCTTGGGGGCCTCTTGGTGGCCCCGGGGGCCTCTTGGAGCACCTTGGGTGCTTCGGGGGGCCTCTTGGGGCCTCTTGGGGGCCTCTTGGGGGGCCTATTGGGGGCCTCTTGGGGGCGTCTCGGGCCCTCCTGGGCGCCTCCTGGGGCCCCCCCTTTCAACCGCCATCTCCTCCCTCCACGGCGCGTGCGCGCTCCACCAGTCCTCTGACAGTTGAGCGACAACCAACTTGGTTGTGGGGGTGCCCCTCCCCCGTGGCTCCGAGACGGCCCCTGCGACAACCCGAGGCGTCGCCATCAGCATTCAACCGCTCATCGTGGCCCCAATGGTTGGCCCAATCATGATCTACACACTCCTTGCATCGTCATTCGCCCGCCCGTCCCACCTCAAAAGGTTAGCCCGGGCCCAGCGATTGCCGCCGCTGCTGGCACATGGCGGCCGCCGACGGCGGCGCCGGCATCGTCTACACCTTGGTAATGGCCATCATCGTCGGCGGCGCAGTCCAGAGCGCGATTGCGACATGGCTCTGGGAGTGGCTGTGTCCGAAACGTCCGACGCCGACTGGCGCCGCGACCATCCGCGCGGCGGCGCCGACGCCGGCCGACGCCATCCACATGGCGGCGCCGCCGCCGACAGCGACGCCGACGCCAGCGGCGCCGACCGACGCAGCGGCGCCGCCGCCGATGCCAACGGCGCCGACGCAGATGCTGATGACGCGAACGGTATCTACGCAGAGCCAAACCATTTAAAAAGGGGGTGGACTCAGCCTCGGCCCATGGCCCTCCCGGAGCACTTTCACGGCGTAGGGCTGATCGACCCTGTTTGGGATCCGCGCCGTGGCTGACCCAGGACACGGCGGAATTGCACGGGCTCTGGGAATTGACGCATCGGCTGCTTCGGCCGCCGTAGCATTGAAGAGACACATCGCCATCGCAACCTCCATCTTCGCTCTCTCGTTCCTCCGCCTCGACTTCCCCTTCTATCATGTGTCCTTCTGCCCCTCCCATCCCTCCCCTGCGATGCGAAATATCACTGGTGGCCCCCCCCCCTCCCCCTGCCCCCCCCCCCCCTCCTCAGTGAGATACTTCGCGGAGGCCCGAAAATATAGGTTCAGCACGGATGCCCCAGAAGGACGCATTTTATAGGTTCAGCCATGATAGGCTCAGCACGGAGGCCCGAAAATGACCCATTATAGGTTCCGCAAGGAGGCCCGAACATTGCCCATTATGGGTTCAGCTTGAATGGGCCCTCCCCCTCATGCTTTGAATGGGCCCTCCTCCTCATCAACACTCCCTGCTCCGACGCGCCACGGGCCACCCCCACTCTGGCGTGGGCGGGCCATTGGCTGCTTCGGCCACGCCGCTCTCATCCTCCTTCTCCTCCTCCCTAGCCAGTTTCTGGTTCGATTTGAAAGGGGTTCAATTTTCGTTTACCGACATGAACGGGCCGCCCCGTGACCGGGGCATGCTGCGCGGCGCAGATTGCGTTCGATACCATGTGTCCGGCCCCTGCGGCGGGCCCTGCACCTCCCGCCCGATATTGGCGCCGAGGCAGCTGGGGGGCCCGATGCCGTCCTACGAGGACGCGGCTCAAGCCGCGAAGATCCGCCGGGACGTCGAAAAGGCGCACGAGGTGGCGAAAGACACGGTCAACCTCCTGAACGGGATAGGCGCCGCGGCCAAGATGATGGGGCAGATGTTGGCTGGGCACCAGGTCGAGATCTTGAGCATCGAGAATGACTTGCTTGGGCATGGTGGTATGCGTTATGCTGCTCCGCTCCGCATTTTGCGGCCCTCGGCTCATCGGTTGCGGGCCAGGCTGATCACGGGGCCGGCTGCCCAATTGAACCAGATCACGGCGATGTTGACCCAGATCAAGGTTCTCGAGAGGCTTGCGGAATATCCCGATGACGCCGCAGATGTGTTTGGCCCGTGGGTCGACGCCGACGCCGCCGACGCCGATGCCGACGCCAGCGCCCGCCACGGCGTCTCTGAGGCGGAGCCCGCCGCGGCGCCAGGCAGTAGCTGACTGCGCCACTAATCGGCTGCTTCGGCCGAACTAGGTTTGAAAAATATTTCCCCTCCTCCACCGACCTCCACCTCCGCCTCTCCATCCTTCCTTCCTCCAGCCTCCGCTTCATCGTTTTTTACAGGGTGCGCGCCATGCCGAAGCTCGATAGAGGACTCCGAGTGCCTCGGGCTAAAGCTCTTGAGCTCCCCCCTCTCCCTTTTTATTATCTTCGCTGTCGTCGGGGTGCTCTGCAAGCGTCGATTGAGCTCACGAGGCCGCGAATCGGAAATCAATGGCCGCGAGGGCGGGGAGGGCCGCCGCTCCCCCCCCGCGCCCCAGGGAGCACGGCCGCCCCGCGGGGGCAAGAGGGGCCGCCCCCTATTCATGTTTCGCCCGATTCACCATGGCAACATTTGAGTTGCTGTGTTCCCGCCTTGTAAGGGCGAAGTCTTCGTCCCAAGGGGCGAAAGACACGGCGCTGTTGTTGTGCGACGCGCCGCCGCATTCGGACGCCCTGCATGTGTCATGTACACCATCCCTTCCTCCTTCAACTCATCGAGCCCCCCCCGTCCCCCCCCTTCTTTATTCCTGATCCCCCTCCTTCCTCGCCCCCATCGATCGTCGATCATATAGGAGTTCCAGCGCACCAGCGCGAGCGAAGTGCTAGTGCGGTTGAGGTGCCGGCGCGGTCCATGATGCGTGCAAAAAATGCGCCCGCGGGCGCGTGGGGGTTGTCATCATCCCCTTTTTTCTGGGCCCTCGATCCCCATTTCCTCGTTCTCTCCGGGGCCTCGAAAAGGACCCCTCGGGCGACGCGCGTGCATTGCTGGCTTGCGGTGTCGATGCGACGTCGCACTTGGAGGCGTCTTGCACTCGACGCTGGACTGTCTTCTCCTTGCCCCAAGAACCTCAACGCTGCATTCTCGCCATCGTCGCCACGTTAATGAATGATGTGTTGATATGGATAGTAGAGAAGGATTGGGAAGGGAACGTGATGAGGAGAGCTCGGTGCCTCTTGGTGGCCACTTAAGTTCGAAGGGAGGTCCCAAACACTTAACTTAATTTAACATACTATCCACATATAAACAACCACAGTTGTTTTTATTGAAACCGATTGGCGACCACATCGAAATACCAAAGCTTAGGAACACGGATTAGATGGGGTAAGTCGTAGGAGCTCCGCAGCCCCCCAGGGAGCCGCGAGGTCCCGCAAGGATCTGCGTCATTGCTTGTTCCGGTGGACCTTCCAGGAGCCCATGGAGGTGGCGGCATTTGCACAGTTCGCAGCCCCCAGGGAAACAGCGAGATCCCGCAGGGATTTGCATAACTACTCACTTATCTGGAACCCCCAGGAGCCCACGGACGTGGCGACAATTGCACAGTTCGCAGCCCCCCAGGGAGCCGCGAGGTCCCGCAGGGATGTGCGTGACGACCCACTCCGCTGTACCTCCCAAGAGCCCATCAAAGTGGCTGCAATTGCGCACTTCGCAGCCCCCCAATGAGCCCGGGAATCTCGCAAGGATTTGCGTGATTACCCATTCTGGTGGACCGTCCAAGAGCCTACGGAAGTGGCGACCATTGCGCAATTCGCAGCCCCCCAGGGAATTGCGAGGTCCTACAAGGATGTGCGTGATTACCCGCTCCGCTGGACCTTCCAGGAGGCCACGGCGGTTGCGACAATTGCGCAGATCGCATCGCCCATGGACGCTGCGACTGTTGCGCAGTTCGCAGCCTCCCAGCAAGAAAGGCAGGAGGCAGGGAGGCAAGGAGGCAGGATGAGGGGGAGGAGGAGGAGGAAAGGGGGAGGAGGAGGAGGAGGAGGAGGAGGAGGAGGAGGACGAGGAGGAGGAGGAGGAAACGGAGAAGGAGGAGGAGGAGGAAGAGGAGCAGGAGGAGGAGGAGAAGGAGGAGGAGGTGGAGGAGGAGGAGGAGGAGGAGAGGTTGGAGACCACAGTGCCCTATTCCAAACGAGGAACAAACCAGAGGGAGGGCTGGGACACAGCGGGCGTCGGGGGAGAGGGGTCGTGGAGGTGGTCCGCCGCCTCTGGGCACTCTACGGGCCACTTGAGAGCCCGAGAGCAGCGGGGGGCCTCCAGGAGGACACGCTTCCCCCCCTTCTGGACTCCGGGCTAGCATCTCGTCCCACCTCCGCCCGGGGGAAGGCCACCTGGTCCATCACGACCCACCCGGTTCCGTCGAGAGACCCCCTTTCCTTCGTATAGAGAGGTATCGGGGGCGGCAAAGAGGGGGATGATGACTAGGGGGGGTGGGTATCATGGCGGGGGCCATGATATTTCCCCAGATTTCATGGCGCCTCTTCTTGTTTCATTACGTCCCTGGCCACACCCCCTGGGCTGCGCACATGCCGCTGGCTATGATTTGCATCCCCCCGTCTTGGACGCCCCCCTTTTTGCTGCCCCCGAAGGTAATCGACGGGAACAAGTACGACCGTGCTCTGCTGGAGAATGCTGAGGAGTTCGCTGCGGACGGGCAGATCGGCTACCCGGAGGCCAAGCAGCTCTGGCAGGACGCGCAGGACGGCAAGGGCGTGACGGACATCGAGAGGGCGACGCTCGAGTACGCCCTGAAGACCTACAAGTTTACGCCGAAGGCCAAAAACTTCCTGACCACCTACCTGGCCGCAGGACTCGAAAAGCAATCATCGGCACACGCATAAGCTGTAAGAGCTGCGCGCAGAGGCTCGAACGTTTACGCTTATGCAGCTGTTTTCTGACACTCCGATCAGGACAGAGCAAGTCCTACTACAAGGTCGTGGACGGGGTGAGGTACGACCGCGAGCTGCTGGAGTCGGCCGAGAAGGCCGCGGCCGACGGCCAGGTGTCGCTCCCAGAGGCCAAGGAGCTCCTGGCCTCCGCCGCCGACGGGAAGGGCGTGACGGAGACGGAGATCGGAGGGAGGAGAAGCGACCTTGAGCTCCTTTCGTCGTGCAGCAAAAACTCACGACGGGAGGTATGCGGCAGCTGCCTGCCCCAAGGGGCCCTCAATGGGCCCCGAAAGCGTCAACAACGGCTCGGGATGAGAACCTGGCCTTGCGGAGAGGATCTAGACCTCCGGAGACCGGTGGCCATGCGGTGGCGGAAATCACGACGTCGACGGTATGATTGGACGCCCGAAATGGGTACGGAAAAATTGGGTACAATGCCCAACAACAAATGTTGTCCCAAACCAACAGCAGCCGCTGTTGGGCAGGCGGCCCTCTGTTTCAAATAGACACAGGCCGCGGCGGCGTGGACAGCGAGCACTGTTCAAAATGAGCAGGAACTGCTGTTGGGCATTGTACCCACTCTTTCCGTACCCATGTCGGTCGTCCCGAGTATGGGGGCAGCGCCGCCAGCCAGCGACCTCCATCGAACAAGAATACCTATACGACCACCCTGCGGGTGATAAGGAGGTGAGGGGGGAGGGGGAACCAACGTCTCACTCAATCGATCTCGCTATCGATCTCACAGTCGATCTCACACTTGATCTCACTATCGATATCACTATCGATGTAACAATCGATCTCACAATCGATCTCACATTCGGTCTCACATTCGGTCTCACTATCGATCTCACTATCGATCTCACAATCGATCTCACAATCGACGTCATCATCATCATCATCATCATCATCATCATCCTCATCATCATCATCATCATGCTTCTTCTATTCTCTGTGAGCAAGCTCCTGCTGTCTCCGCAGCTTCTCTGCCCAAGTGCCCCCCCGTCGGCCGCGCGTGCGGACGCCTTATGCAGGCGGTCGCACAAGCGGCTCTCGGGGGCGCTGGGGAGATCTTCTTCAGGGGGCTGCGGGCCGCGCTCTACGAGCGGCTCGTGTCTGCCCCCCTCTCTGTGCTTCAGGACCAAGGGCCTCCTGCGCCTGCCTGGTCCATCCAGCAGGCGGACTCGTCCGAGGGTGAGGGGGCTTACTGCCCCCTCCCTTCGGCGGGTTCCGCCTGCCCCACCGTCTGCCTCGGGCTGGCGGTGGATCTGAGCGGCGGGGTCTCTCCCTGGCTGCTCAGCACGGTCGTCGCCCTCCTTTGGGTGACGGCCGCGTGCAGCGCCTGCGCAGGCTGCTGCATCGGGCTGCTGGGCCCGTACGTGTGGCGGAGGCTCGGGGCCTCCGCCTGGCCGCGCGGTGCGGTTCCTGCTTCGCCTGAGCAGGACCGCCGTGCGGCGCGAGCGCTGGCTTACGGGGTTCCGCCTCGGCCTCGAGCGCTCGAGCGGGCAGACGCCCAGCATTCGGGCGGCAGTTCCCACGACAGCGCCCATTGATGGCTGAGCTGCCACCAGTTGGCGGAGGGCCTCTATGGCCCGAGCTCTACCCATTCGCGGCTCCCACGGCTCGCGATTACGCACGATGGCGCCTAGACGACGGCGACACCAGCTGGGCAGCTATCCCCCTCGCGTCTCGAGAAGGGGGCATCCTGCTGGCCCTGCCTGGCGCCTTTCGCTCTACGGCGGAGCTCGTGGCTGCCGAGGCGGATGGCTTTGCAGGAATGATAGGCCCTTTCCAGCTAGTGGACGTCCAGCTCCAGGGGGCCGCTTCACGGCCGCTCGCCACTACTGCATCCGTCCTCGTCGTAGATATCGAGGTTGCAGAGCTCGAGCTCGAGTCGCTTTACCCTCTAGAGGTCGGGGAGGACGCAGTCATCGTTCCCTTCGCCGAGGTGCGGGGCCGCGTCTATTGGCCACATCCTTCGGGGGTTCGGGTGCTTCGCGAGGGCTACGCACGCTTGCACGGCGCCCCGCCTACTGCAGGAGAAGAGCCGCTCCCAGGGGCCGATCGGGCTACTCCCTATCACTCTGCCGACGAGATGGAGGAGCCCGAGGGGTTCGCGGCCGACGGGGAAGCCGACCGCACGGCCCCAAGTGCGCGATCTCCCGCGGACGCTGGAGCGCCGCGCGGCCCGCCCGCGAAGCGCGCGGGCACCGCCGCGCCGCCACGGGTCGCGGGTCCCGCTCCGATCGCTCCTGGTGCCCCTGCGGCGTCTCTGGACGACGGGGCTCCTATGACCCGTGCCGAAGTAGCTGCCGAAATGCGCGCCTTGCTTGCAGCCCACGCGGCCTCCACGATGGTCGGCAGACCCGAGCCGCTGGGCCCCGCGCCGGCTGCCCGGAGCGATCGGCCCGAGGTGCCTCAGCTTTTCAGCGACGAAGCGGTGCGCCTCGGGCTGGATCCTGCGGGGATCGAGGCCGTCCTGTCTCACGCGCCCGTGGCCCCACAGCGGGTCTCCGCGCGTCCCAAGGGTCCGACCTCCGCGCTGGTCTCGGCGTGGGAAAAGGCGCGCTCTCTTGCTGTCCCTCGGGCCCCTTCGTCCGGTTTCGGAGCGATGGGTCCCCCGCCGCCACCTGGGCTAGCCCATCCCGCTGCGGCCGACGGCTTTGCCGAGGCGGGCGGCGCCGACGGGTCAGAGCCGCCCCATGCGGCCAATCCGACGGACTTCAGCCTCATGCTACAGTGCCTGCACCAGTCCCTCCTATTGCAGCAGGGGCGGGGCCATCGCCCAACCGTCCATCCGCTTCTGGGGACCCTGAGCGACTCAGCTCAAATTCCGCCCACGAGCTCGGGCGACCCCGCGCCCGCATCGGCCCAGATGGGGGGCATTGCTCGGAGGCGCGAGTGGCAGCAAGCGCTGCTACAGCACGGCCCCGATGTGCGAGGACTGATGAAGGAGAATTTGGCCCGTGTCCTGGGCGTGGAAGTCAGCGCCGTGACCCCCATGGCCATGCATCAGTATTTTCGGGAGCACAGTCCCTTGGGGGCTCAGCCGACGACGCACGAGTTGTTGACGCATTTCGCCTTCCTCAGCGCCGAGCTGTGGCGGGCCTGCGAAGAGGGCAACCCCGAGAGAGTCCAGACTTTACTGACGTGTCAGTGCATGTTCATCGACCAGCTGGCGGGGGACCGCGGCTATCTCGAGGCCGCCTGGTTCCTTACGGGGCTGGAGCCTCCCCCGTGTCGCGTGACCAGTCTTCGCACGGAGCGCGAGGCCCAGACCCCGTTCTCACCCCTGGTGGATCCTCGCTGGCTGTCGGCGCAGGGCGAATACGGGAAGGAGCTGCAAGCATTTCGGGCGCGTCTCGACGCCGAGCGCGCCGTCGCGCTCCCCAAGCATCCACCTCATCAGCCCAAGCAGCCCAAGGTTTCGAAGCCCCCCTCCAAGTCCCAGGGTGCGTCCAAGGCACCGAAGGCGGTGCCCAAGAAGGACTGAGGGCGCCTTTGGCGCCCGCCTCCTGGAAGGGTGGGCCTTCGCGGGGCCGGGGCACGCCGCCGCGCACAGTCTGCACCGACGCTGTTGCGGCTGCTAGGCGCGTTTGGGCTCAGCGAGGGCGTGAGGGTAGGAATGCGCTCTTCCAGCGATGCTGTTGCGGCCCCGCAGGGAGGAGTACGTTCCGCCACCACGCCCTTCGCTCTGCTCCGAACCGCTTCTCGGATCCCTTCGGCCATTTTGGCCGACGCCTGCCTCAGTCGAGCGCGCCCTCCAGGGGGCCTGCTGCTCCTGAGGTTGGTGTCCCTGCTGGTGCCTGTTCTCCTTCAAGCACCCCTGCTGCTCTTGCCAAAGTCGCGCCATTCGTCGCTGACTTGTCTGCCTTGCTGCGCCTGTTTCCAGGCGCGAACATTGATATCACCCACTGGGCGGCAGCGCTGTCCCAGGTTGGGATGGGTGCTCGATGTTCTCTTGGATCTTTCTCCCGCTCATCTACGCGTGCAATGGACAGGGGCGACCCGTGCCTTTTGGGGCCGCCTCCCCGCGATCCTTGGCCGTGCCCGCCAGCTCCACCTCTTGGTCCCCCGCCTGACGGCTTGTCGGCGAGGCGCAGGGAGCGCTGGAGATTGCGGCGCGCGGCGCGGACGCTCGCGCAGTATTCTGTTATTGCGTTGAATTGGCTCACCTTGGGTCATCCTAGCCTCGCTCCCGCCGAGGCTCGCGTCCGCGCCACGGTCTCGCCCTGCCAGGAGGGCGTCCGCACCCGTATCGAACGGTTGTGTCGGATCGCAGTTCGCCTCGCCCGTGGCGGCAAGAGCGACCTAGGTCGAGCCTTCGCCAAGTTCGACTCCACTGAGGTCTCGCTCCATGGCCTGGCCACCCATGTTGCAGCTTTGGAGGCCTCCTTCACTTCCTCTTCTTCCGTACCCGCCCCCATGCGGCACTGCCTGACCAGCGCTCCTTCTGTGCCTGGTTCGTTGGCGGCTGCGGCGGCTTGGGACTCCACCCAGGCCGAGCCCTTCGATTTGAAAGTCAGGGCGTCTCGCATCAAGTGGGATTATTCGCCAGAGTTTGATCCCGTTCCCTTCCTCTCCGACGCTCGAGTCCGCGAAGCTTTCATCGATCCAGAGGTGATGCGGCTACCGGCATCAGAGTGGCCTGCTGGCCAGAAGGGAGCGCGCGTCCATATGGACCGCGCCGAGCTGTGGGCCCTACTCCAGAAGTGGGATGCCTGTGGCGCCCTGTACCTGACTCCTGCTTCGGACCTCGCCTGGGATGAAGCCTGTGGAGCTTTCAGGGTACCGAAGGACAGCGATTTCGACAGGCTGATCCTGAACCCCACGGTCGTGAACAGCCGCTGTGCTTCAATTTCGTCCAGCACCCAGCGCCTTGGCCAAGGTTTCCTGCTGTGCCGTCTGGGGCTGGCACCTGGGGAATGGCTGGCAGTTTCTTGTGACGACCTACGGGAGTTTTACTGCACTTTCCGCGTCCCTCCCGCGCGCGCCAGACGTAACGCCCTGCGCGTTCGTCTGCCATCATCTCGCTTCAAGGCCTTTCGAGCCTGGCGCCCCGAGCTTGAAGGTTTGGATGTCGCGCCCTGCCTCAATGCTCTGGCGATGGGCGACAACATGGCTGTGGAGATTGCCAACTCTGCGCACGAAGGCGTCTTGCACAGCTTCGGGGCTTTGCGGC